CGCCTTCGCTGCGCTGATTGGACAGCCTCGGCGCGTCCGGAGATCTGATTGGTCGTCTCGAGCTGTCAGTCTGAGGACGGAGCGGACGTAGACTGCACCACAGGACTCTGGACAAACCGCACACAGGAGACTAACCACGGGGGGGGGGGGACTACAGAGGCCGCAGCCTCCTCCTCCTTTCTCCTCCTGCTCCTCCTCAGGGAACCCCGGACAGAAAGTTAGCCACAAAGGAGGACTAGATCCTGCCACAGACTCGAAGCAAAATCCAAAACATTTAATTTTACAGTCTGTCTGATGAGCAGGCTTCCTGTCAGCAACTGGACACTGATGACCTCAGTATAATTAAGGTAATATCAGTGAGGTAGCATAAACCCAATACCAAACAAGCTGGCTGTAAAATGTAAATTAAAACTGAATGCTATGATCTGGAAATCCCATAAAATCACATTTTACTCACAATGAAACGATATATCAAATGAGCCCCTGAGGCGGATTAACCTGCATAAATAAAGGTTGAATGAATGAAATATATCAACTGTTTAAACTCACTTTTTTTTTTTTTACGTAATTTTGAATTTTACGGCAGCAACACATTAAAAAGTAAAATAGGTGGTATGAATGGAAAAAAAGTGCATTTTTGCTATGAATTTGTTTAATTTTCAACAGGTCAGTAAGAAGGCTGTGTATAAAAAGGATTTTAGAGAAGCTGAATCTCTAACGTAAAGATGGGAAGAGGTTCACCGGTCTGTGGAAGAACTGGGTCTAAAATTAATAGAGTAATTCCAGAATAATGTTCCTTATCAAAAAATAAATAAATTGAGAATACTTTTAACATTCCATCATTCTTAATACCAACATATTTAAAAAAAAAATGGAGAAATTTCAGAGCTCCAAGGATGAAGCTGAAAGTCAACATTAGATGCTCGTGACCTTCAGACTCTCTGGCAGAACTGGATTAAATCAAAGGGTCTGGTTCTGAATCTGGACATCACTGCATGGACTCAGGAACACTTCCTCAAACAATCACAGTTCACAGTGCTTTGTAGGATCGCTGCTCTATCATGCAACGAACAAGACAGAACCATATCCTCCATAAATAGGACATGGACCATCCAGCCTGTTATCAGTGCACAGTTCAAAGGCCAGCCTCTCTGATGGTATGGGGGTGTATTAATGCCCATGGCATGAACAGGTTACATGTCTAGAAAGGCATCATCAATGCAGAAAAGTATAGAACATACTGTAAGAGGACCAGCTGGAACAGCTTGACTCCTCTCAGACAGAACGGGCCAAAATTCTCCTCCAAAACCTCCTCAGGTCCTGGACTTTTATAGACTGTTGCTCCACAGAGGAAAACCCGGCCCAGCTTTTCTAGAGACGTGATGCTGTCACTCAAAATTCCTTTTATTATGTGTTTTACAATCTTCTGTTTCAGCATTTGATAAGTTCATTATGTTCCTTGGTGAACAAAATACGGTTTATGAAACTTGCATTTAGTTTTTATTTACATTTTACACTGACTTACCAATATTTCCAAAATGGGAGTGGTATTAAAATGTATTGTTTTAGGTAAATGGACTGTACTTATACAGCATCTTTCTATCTGATCAAGATACTCAAAGAACTTTACGACAGCACTTTACTAGATCTCTACAAAGCTAAAAGAAACTGATCAGAGCTTTATCACATTCATACACCAACGGGACACACATCGGAGGCCATGAGGGGTTCAGTGTTTGCCCAGGAACACTTCGGCATGTGACTGCTGGTGGATTCGAACCCTCAACTCTTGCACTGGAGGACGATTGCTCTCAGCCACAGCCGCCCTGAGGTGAAAACTAAACACAAAAGAAGACCCTAATAAAGAAGAAAAGATCATATTGCACTGGTTGAGTTAAAGTAAAAATGGCAAAAAGTCACGTACATTAAACTTTTATAGGCATTTCATCATCCTCTGTGATTTTAGATGGATAAAAATAATTCCTTGTCAGGAACTTTCTGCAAAATGAGGAGAAAGGTCTAAAGCACACTTTCATCCCAGTAAAATAACTTGATGAGTTTAATAAAAATATAGTTACTTTTAGAAGTGAACGTCTGAGACTGGTCTGATACTGAAGAGGTTCTGTGATGAGCGATGAGTGCAGGAAGCAGAAAAACAAACTTTAATTCACAAATCTGTCTGTTTTTGGCTAGCTTTGGATTTTTCTTTGAGCAATAAAGGGGTCTGTCAAACATAAATCTAAATTAAACCACAAGATGGGTTTAGAAGTCATCAATTGTTGAAGGTGACAACCTCGACAACAGATGAAGCAACAACCGTAATAAATCTACAAACTCTTAAAAAAGCCAAACTCTAATGAGAAAAAATGTTTCTCGTTGGTTTCAAAGTTCATGCTCAATAATCCAGGTAAAAAAAATCCAACAAAAGTCAGTCAGGTCATCCGGATGGCTTCTTTATTTGTTGAGATGTTTTGGCCTTCATCCGAAGGACTTCATCAGTCTGAGGAGCCACAAACAAATTCAGTCCCACAAGCAGCACACTCCCATAGTGGACCAACCAGTTTAATGGTGATAAGATGGTTTCTGGGGCCCACCCTCTCCCCCATCGACTCCTCTGACAACAAAAGTGGTTCGAACATCAAAGTTTATGCTCAATAGTCCAGGTAAAAAAAAATCCAACAAAGTTCAGTCAGGTCATCTGGATGGTTTCTTTTTTTGAGATGTTTCGTCCTTCAACCAAAGGACTTCATCAGTCGAGGTTTTGTTGAGACGTTCCATCCATCATTCAAAGGACTTCATCAGTTTTTGTTGAGACATTTCATCTTTCATCCAAAGGACTTCATTGGTTTTTGTTGTAATGTTTTGTCCTTCATCCAAAGGCTTTCATCAGTTTTTGTTGATATGTTTCATCCTTCATCCAAAGGACTTCATTTGATTGTGTTAAGATGTTTCATCCTTCATCTAAAAGACTTCATTGGTCCACTATGTGTGTGCTGCTTGTGAGACTGTTTGTGGCTCCTCAGACTGATGAAGTCCTTTGAATGAAGGATGAAATGCCCCCCCCCCCCCCAAAAAAAAAAAAACAAAAACAAAAAAAAACCTCTCCACAAGTCCTGACTGAACTTTGTTGGGTTTCCCATTGGTCCTTTTAGAATCTCATTTTTGAGAACAACAACTTGACAAGACTGTCAACAAGGAAGAAGGCCAGCAATGGAGGAGGGGGAGTACCAAAGAGACCATCTTATCACAAGCAGAACTGGTTTGTTCCACTTTGGAGTAAGCTGTTGGAGGAAGAATCAGTTTTGTTGTGTGTTTCCTTGACTGATGAAGCCTTCCGGATAGAAGGCGAAATGTTTCTGCACAAAAAAAAAAAAAGAAACTGTCCAGATGACCTGACTGAAAAATGTTGAATTTTTCTATATGTTTGTCATATTACAATAGTTATATAAAATGGTAAAGGACCTTTTTAAATGCCTGAAACAATGATATTTTGTTAACAGAAAACCTTTTGTTTGGCATCAGGAAGCTGCTTATCTGGACATTAAAAGCACAAAACTAAACACGCTCATCAATATGTCTCATGTGCTCACAAGAGTAACATTTCAAGAGCATGTGGACAGACGATCTGACAGAAAATAGTCCAATTAGCCTTTTTTTTTTTAGTTCTTGACTGAAAACCTGCAAAATAAACCTGGTGTTTTCAGCATTTAAATATATTTTGTTCTAAATAACTCCCATAAAGTGTGATGTTAGAGTTACTCCAAAATGTTCCTTGAATGTGTAACTTGTCCAAGCGTCACACTGAACTCCTCACCTCATCAGTAGGCAGACGAGACAACCTGTAATATATTTGTTTTAGCTGCAGGCACAAAAAGATCTCGTCTTGATCTATAAATAACGTCACTTTTTACAGAGCGCGACACTGACGTGTCACGAGCATTAAAGTTTTACACCCATCAAACGGTTGTTGCTGCCACTGCTGCCTCGAATGATCCTGGTTTGACAGTTAGAGCAGATCTAAAACGTCTCCGTGCTCTCAGCCTTGTCCAACGGCCCAGAGTCTTTCTATTTCTCTTAGACAAACTATCTGTGCATCGCTGTTAATGAGTGCCCGTCTATGTGCCTGACAGTCCGTCTCAACTGCCCTTTAATCTAGAGTATGCAAAGAAAGGCTGTGAACCTTGAAGGAAAATACTCCACGGCAGATGGAAAGCTCACCAGACAAAAGATAAACTCGCTCTTCTGTTGAGACACACATGACAATGATTGTGGATCAAACTAATCCCGCTCTTTATTCCTTTAATTTTCACTCGTTACACTGAGAAATGCACGTTTCTCCGAATCGCTGGGTCTCAAGGTTGCTAACATCTAAAACCCAAACGCTGATGCTTGGCGATGCCTCCTACACTGACATCTGGTGAAAAACGATGAAGGCATACCAGCAAACCAGTTTGAAACAAATGGTGCGAGATGTGGGCGACACACACAAACACACACACACTTAGAAGACGTGATGCCCTGAGTTATTTCTGCTCTCCCAAAGGTGAGTCTCTCCTCAGCCTCTGTTATTCACACGCAAGCATGAAGGGCTTCCAGTTAAACCCTTTAACTAGCCTTCATGCAAACATGCAAATTTACTGAAGCACCAAACACGTGGCCTCCGTCACTCCTTATGGACTAAAACAAAGACTCTTCGTTAAAATAATCTGAACTATAACAAATGTGTGAGCAAACCAATGGTTTGGTGAAAAATAAAACTCGCAAAGCATAAAAACAATCGGCAGTCAGCTGGTAAAGATCCGATTTTAAGATTCAGCACACGATGTGCTGCCTGCGCAGCTTAACACCGCATGTCATTATGAACAGTTATAATCCAATAAACGATATACAAGAATAAAAAGCAAGAGATTAGCTTAAAAATCTGAAAGTAATAAATCCATAGGTGTCTGAAAAAGGTATGATGTGTTATTTTTGGCTGAACAGTGCCCCCTTATGAAGGAATTTGAGAAGTCAGGAAAAAAGGAAACATTTTTTATCCTTTCTAGTTTTTATTTACAGTATGTGATGAAGTAGAATCAACTAAATATTTCTATAAGAACAGTTGGATTTATACTGGAATAACGACAATAAGGCACAACTTTATGGTGGAAATGTCTTTCAACCTCATCACATCATATCTCTTGAGTCGTTTTGTCTGTTCCTTTGAAGTGGGAAATAAAAAAAAACTTAAAAAAAACCGCACAAAGTCAATTATAAATAGAGCGTTACATCCTGAAGACTCCGAATTGCGTCTTCTTGGTTGGTGCATTGAGAGCTGCGCTGAGACTCAGTCCCAGAACCAGGCGAGTGTCTGCAGGGTCAATGATGCCGTCGTCCCACAGTCTGTGGAAAAAAAACGAAAAAAAAAAAAAAAACGAGCTTACACGTCATATTACAACTCAAAAAGTACAAGAAGTCTTCAGTCGGTTGATTTAATAAACTACGAGATGATGCGTTTCCTCTGCCTGGATGACTGTCTCAATGTTTAGTGGCAGAAGTTTCCTTCCATCATCCATCCATCCATCCATCCATTATCTTTACCCGCTTATTCCATTTTGGGTCATGGGGGTCACTGGTGCCCATGTCCAGCAATCACTGTGCGAGGGGCGGGGTACACCCTGGACGGGTCGCAAGTCCATCACAGGGCCACATAGAGACAAACGAGACAAACAACCATTCACTCTCTCACTCACACCTAGGGACAATTTAGAGTTACCAATTAGCCTAACATGCATGTTTTTGGTCTGTGGGAGGAAACCGGAGTACCCGGAGAAAACCCACGCATGCACGGAGAGAACATGCAAACTCCACCCAGAAAGTCCCCTGGACCGGGGTTTGAACCAGGGACCTGCTCGCTGAGAGGCAGCAGCTCTACCAGTTGTGCCACCGTGCTGCCTCCTTCCATCATCACATCTGCAATTTTATCTTCCTCTTTTTAAATAACTTTTTTTAATTTTTTTATTAAATGCTCTGTTATCTTACACTGACTTCTTGTTCTTCTTCACATTAGCAAAAAATACAAACGTCTACATCTACTTACAGGCAGCAGATATACAGGTGCTGGTCATAAAATTAGAGAATCATGATTTTTTTTTTTTTTTTTTTCAGTAGCATTACACACAGACTGATACATTTCAAATGTTTATTTCTTTTAAATGTTGATGGTTACAAATGACAACTAATGAAAACACCAAATTCAGTATCTCAGAAAATTAGAATATTGTGAAAAGGTTCAATTTTGAAGACACCTGGTGCCACACTCTAATCAGTTAATTAACTCAAAACACCTGCAAAGGCCTTTAAATGGTCTCTCAGTCTAGTTCTGTGGGTTACACAATCATGGGGAAGACTGCTGACTTGACAGTTGTCCAAAAGACGACCATTGACACCTTGCACAAGGAGGGCAAGACACAAAAGGTCATTGCTAAAGATGTCGGCTGTTCACAGAATTCTGTGTCCAAGCACATTAATAGAGAGACGAAGGGAAGGAAATGATGTGGTAGAAAAAAGTGTACAAGCAATAGGGATAACTGCACCCTGGAGAGGATGGTGAAACAAAACCCATTCCAAAATGTGGGGGAGATTCACAAAGAGTGGACTGCAGCTGGAGTCAGTGCTTCAAGAACCACCACGCACAGAAGTATGCAAGACATGGGTTTCAGCTGTCGTATTCCGTGTATCAAGCCACTCTTGAACAAGAGACAGCATCAGAAGTGTCTCGCCTGAAATAAAGACAAGGGAGACTGGACTGCTGCTGAGTGGTCCAAAGTTGTGTTCTCTGATCAAAGTAAATTTTGCATTTTCTTTGGAAAACAAGGTCCCAGAGTCTGGAGGAAGAGAGGAGAGGCACAGAATCCATGTTGCTTGGGGTCCAGTGTCAAGTTTCCATAGTCAGTGATGGTTTGGGGTGCCATGTTATCTGCTGGTGTTGATCCACTGTGTTTTCTGAGGTCCAAGGTCAACGCAGACATCTAACAGGAAGTTTTAGAGCACTTCATGCTTCCTGCTGCTCACCAACTTTATGGATATGCAGATTTCATTTTCCAACAGGACTTAGTACCTGCACACAGTGCCAAAGTTACCAGTACCTGGTTTAAGAGCCATAGTATCCCTGTTCTTAATTGGCCAGCAAACTCACTTGACCTTAACCCCATGGAAAATCTATGGAGTATTGTGAAGAGGAAGATGTGATACACCAGACCCAACAATTCAGAAGAGCTGAAGGCCACTATGAGAGCAACCTGGGCTCTCATAACACCTGAGCAGTGCCACAGACTGATCGACTCCATGCCACATTGCTGCAGTAACCCAGACAAAAGGAGCCACAACTAAGTACTGAGTGCTGTACATGCTCATACTTTTCATGTTCGTACTTTTCAGTTGGTCAACATTTCTAAAGATCCTTTTTTTTATTGGTCTTAAGTAACATTCTAATTTTCTGAGAGACTGAATTTGGTGTTTTCTTTAGCTGTCAGTTATAATCATCAACATTAAAAGAAATACACATTTGAAATATGTCAGTCTGTGTGTAATGAATGACTAATAAACAAGTTTCACTTTTTGAATGGAATTACTAAAATAAATCAAATTTTTCATGATATTCTAATTTTATGACCAACACCTGTATGTCAGCATTTTCAAGATATATATATATATATATATATATATATATATATATATATATATATAATATCGATATACCATGTTTTAAAAACTAATTTTAGTTACTGTACATAAAAAACCAACAACATAGGAGATATTACAATTAATATCAGCACAATAAGAGGCATGCTGTCAATGATGCTGAAAGGAGCACCACTTTATAATAGAAGTACCCTTTAGGAATTATAAAATTGTTAATAAATTGTTATTATTTAAGCAGTAACCACGTAATCATTAATAAACAGTAAGTGCATTAGATTAAAAGAACAAAACTGACTCAGTCTGGCCAATTAATGAGCCAAGATTCATCTCCACCTCATATTCTCACTGCACTCTTCATATTTTAGACTTTAAATTTTAAACATTTATCAGTGAGTTGCTTGCATGTAATAACTACGAGGATTTATAGGTATAAAGTTGGCATATAAAGTTATTTTTTTTAACAAGTTTAGCAACTGGCTAAAACTTACATTTGCCTAAATGTACAGAATTTGGCCTTCCAAAGAAGTACGCGTTGTTTTAAAGAACGAATGGTGTCGTATAACCATTTTAAAAATGCTTATTAATATTTTATGAACTGCTAATGAACTTATAAATAACCCTTTTACAAAACATTAATAAATCCTTTATAAAGTGCAACCCTGAAAGTTTCACCGTTTTTCTATTTTTAGCCATAAGCAACCACGGCAACTTCAGTTCAGTCCAGGTCAGAATAATTTTCTTCAACTTTAACCATTTTAATTCAACAGCTGGAGCGGCTCAACGAGACACTCGTTGGTTTTTATACCGCTGGTGAATCAAAAGTGATCATTCTGGAACGTGTATGTAGACTACGTTTTTTTAACATACAAAGAAACTCACGCTTAAAAACTTTAATTAGATCATTTGAAACTGTGCCTGTCTGTAAACACTGAAAGAAAGAAACGCACAAACACAAAACAACATGGAGCACGTGCGGCTCGTTGCTGCTTTTTGGCACTAACTGAGCAGAAGAGGACAAAAGGAAAGTAAACAAAGCGAGACCTTGGATTTGTATGATACACTGTCACTAAAGACTGGCTCAGTTATTAACTGTGAAAAGTGATGCAGACATTTACGCCCGGGAGCGACAGGAACGCAGTGAGGGCCGACTGAGATTTGTGGGTTTATATTAAATAACAGGTAACATAATTATATTAAACTACTAAAACAATCTAATTACAGTGTAGAACCTAAATGAAGTCAATACGATCTAATACAGCATCCTCCTAATATAAACTGTTAAAAGCGGTGGTTCTCACACGAGGGTCCCCGGACTCCCGGGGATCAGCGAGCTGGTGCTTGGGAGTCCGTCAAAAAAATCATTATTTTTTAAAAGCACGTAGATGTTAAACAACCCTTTAAAATACACCAAAAATGCAGGAAATCACATCTACATTGTTCAAAATTTTCTGGGGGTGGGGGGGTCCTCCTCCAGATTGGTTTACAAATGAAGCTGTTACTTGGTATGTGACCACTGCTGCTATGATTCTGTTCAGTTTGATGTAGTTTTCTGTAATAATTTCAAGAAGAGGCAACACATTTATTATGTTCATTAAGTAAAGGTAAAGTTTTAGTTTTTTTTTTAATGCTGTTAATTTTCTCAAAGCTGTCATTTTTGGAAGTTGAAATTAAAAATGTTGTTACTTAAGTGTGTCTTGAATGAAAAATACCTCATGTTTCAAAGTATAAACATTGAATTAACACTATTAAAGAACAGGTCTTAAGTATTTATGTTACACAAACTTTTCCGTTGCATAAAAAATATAAATTGAAGAAAATGATTTAATAAACATGAAGGTTAGGAGGAGGTACCCGAACCCCAAAAGTTTGAGAACCCCTGATTAAAAGAAATACTTCAAATACACAGTTTCTTAATTTATAATTTGTAACATCACAAACCAAAAGAAGTATTTAAATTCCGTTTCTTTATATAGCACCAAGTCACAAAGGAAATCATCTCATTGAAGTCATTTTAAAAGTAAAACAACAAGGCACCTAATGGAGATGAAACACTAACATGACATTAGTCCTCGTGCATCAATTCTGTTTTGTAGCTTTTCATGAACTATCGGAAAATTTCTAAATAGAAAAAATCTCCGATATTCTCATGAACAGACAGCACTGTCTCCCAGCAGAAGAGTTCAACTGAAATGGCCCAAACTAAAAGAAATCAACTAGATACACAGAGCCCAGGTTGTGAACACTTTCATTTCAATCCACGGCTGCCTGAGAGACATGATGTCATAACCAAACCTCACCTGGCGCTGGAGTAGTACGGGCTGCCTTCCTCTTCAAACCGCCGAATAATTGGTTCCTTCATGGCTGCCTCTTGTTCTGCTGTGAACTGTGAATAAATCGTGAAAACAGAAGATGGTAATAAGGGCTCGAGCCAGAGGCATTTTAAAGGTTGTCTGAGCTACTGGAGGTGTAGTGAAACGTAAAGCTGAACGCACACGGCTGCTTCATGTGTCACAAAGGCCAGTTTCATCAGCTTGGAACAACAGAGATGAGTCATGGGAAGAAATAAAGACAGAAAAGGTGAAAAATCCCTGAGCAAATGGAACAGATTGTCGCTTCTCAAAACAAAACTACCAACGCAAAACCTGAAGAGCTTCTAAAATGTGAAACCGCTTCGAGACTCCACAATACGTACCAGGGGTAGGCATAAGGAGATTTTCAGGTTGTCTAGTGGTCAACCTCAACAGAATCTGCTTGTCCACCAAAAGGTTGGGTTGTCTACAACCTTTAAAGTAGGAATGCACAATATTGAATTTTTGGCTGATATCCGATACGTCGATATGTCAAAACTTATATGGCCGATAATCAATACCAATACCCATTTATTTATTTATTTATTTATTTATTTCCCCTAGACCTACTTACAGAGACTACATCGATTTCTCTGCTGTGGAATTAAAATACTACATTATTCTGCATGGTCTTTGTCAGTTTGGCCTGCTATCAGGGTGAAAATGATGTAACACTTCAACTTGGGTTATATTTAATGTCAAATTTATTTCCGACATTTACTCTCTCTAACACAATGACGACAAATGAACAGTGCAAATTTGTAAATTTTCACAAATCTAAACTCAACCTGCTCACATGTGACAAGTGAAAAGTGCATAAGTAGTAGTGCATTAATAGATATACTTGACAGTTTCTTAAATTAAAAATTAACTTAAAACAGAAGCCTTTCATATCGGTGAGTTATTTTGATGGAATGGCCGATGTCCGATATTTAACTTTAACGTTAATATCGGCCGATATCATGCTGATAATATCGTGCATCCCTATAAAGAAGGAAAAAAAAAACCTACAGAAAAATGTAATTTAATAAGCATATTGCACTATAAACAGAGATTACAGAATGCAAATGTTCTCAGGCGGCCATCTTGAGGAGTGCTAGGAGTTTCCAGGCTTCTGAGTAGCAAACTCTTTCAGGAGCTGCTCGAGTGGAACTTCCTCATCAGACTTTGCCAAAGAGACACTCACATCATATTTAATGCTCAGGGATCAAAGCAGAAAAAAAAGGTTGCACTTTTTCTACACCTAGAGCTCACCACACCCAGTACCACACATTCGAGAGCTTTTTCCTGCCTACAGGTCACTTCTCAGAGGTTTTGACGTCAAAAGGAGTAAGGTGTGTACATGACCTTAGTAAAAGTACACAGTATAGTGTTCTCTAATAAATCGTTGAAGTTGTAAGAAGACTTTAACCTGCACCATTAAGACCAACGGCATTCTGGAGGAATGAGAGGTTTTGAACAAATGTTCTGTAGTTTCTTTTTATTTCATTTCAGTGTTTCCAGATGAGGGGCTGTCTGATATATTTGAACAAATATTAGCACAGAAAGTTCTTTGCCGAGTATAAATTAACTAAGAACTTTTTTACTAGACTAAGATTTCTCCCCTAAAATGATTATTTCATTCAAATGGATTATATTTACAGAATTTCAGCTCATGTAGGTCAGTAAATACGATTTATTTTCACATTTGATCTTTTATTAAATTGCATTTATCACAGTACGATTACCTCTCAGAATGGTTGTAAATATAATCAAGTTCAGCTCATCCAAACAGACAACACCTTGTAGTTGCTAAGATATCGTGCAGAATTAAAGTTTGCAGATTTTTTTGATAAACTACCTGAAACCGGCTCACAGAGAAACTCAGACAAGCACCTTTGTTATAATCTGTGGCATAGAAATATTCATTTTTTAGCATTAATTTGTCTTTAATAATTTATTATGCCGTCATCGGTTAGGGTGATAGAGTGTCCTTCTTGGAAAACAGTCCAGGAAACACTGACAGGTGCTCTCACCTGCAGTCTCTCTCTAAGCTGGGAGCACACCTGCTGTGTATCAAACAGCACGACCCGCCCTGCTCTGCTCCCATCGGGTCAAACTCTGACTCTGGTTCTCTTTATTTATTGACAGCAGTGTCACTTTTATCATCATTTTAGATTGGATGGCTTTAAAAAGACCACAACAAAACACGTCTCCCCCCCCTTCAATTTTAAAGATGTTCAAAATGACCCTTTAATCCATGTGGTGTTCACTTGGCTGTCCACCGGACAACCTCGTGGTGAGATCTGGTTGTTGGAGACAAAAATAGAAAAAAGGTTGTCTCGGACAAACAGAAACTGCTAATATCAACCCTTGCATACAGTACACAACATTCAGACTAGGCACTAAAAGCTGAGATTAAGAAAGAAAATTTAGAGATTTCTGTAAGTGGTCAGAACATTTTATCCATCGAGCACCTTAGCTAGTTTTTCTGAAGCACCGGCAGATGTGTCTTGTGTTATGTGTGTCCATATTGACGGCTCTGTACCATTCACTGAAAGTACACTGAGGAAGGAATGAGCGATACTACCAAATATTACACAAAATACACCCAAATTCTGTGTTTCAAGACGTTTTTAAAAAGGATCCAACTTTGCAAAAGATGCAGTTAAGTTACGCAAACAAAAAAACTAACGCATAAACTTGTTGGGTTTACACCTTTGATGATTTTAAGACTTTTATAGCTAAAGACTAAATCAAATTTACTGAAGGTGCTATAAAAACATTTGTTTTAAACTGAAAAGTGATGAATGTAATACAAAGAAGTTGACATATTTAGTTGATTTTAGAATTTGGAGATATTTATTTTGAACTAAAACATGACAAAAAAATAATTTTGCCACGGAACCCTGAAGACCGCTCAAAGACTTCTGGTGTTGCTGGGAGAACTTCTGTACATGCAGGATATTACTAACATGTTTAGTCTAGTGTTTTTAATAAAATAATTCTTGCCATTGGTGAGCAAGTAAGACCTTTTCTCAACTGACTGACTTTAAATATCTACAGTACAAGTGAGCCGGTCAGAAGATCTGCTCACTGAGTAATTCTTCAACTCTAGCCCTCAATAGGAGTTCAAATACTGTATCGAACACACAGACTGAATATAACCCTTTTAAATATTTATAAATGTTATCTGCTTCATGGGTTTCCATTAAATTGAGTTTGACGCATGAACTCAGTGAGTTATAAAAAACTGGATGCTGTAGGATTCAATTTTTACTTCATAAAATAAGCAATGATAAAAATAGAGCTAAATCTGCAGAAAAAAATCCAATACAGTAGTCCCTCATTTATCGTGGGGATCCAGATCCTGAATATACCCGATAAGTGAAAAAACTCGAATTAGGAGTAGTAGTACAAGTAGTGAGTAGTAGTTTATTTTAGTATTTATATATATATATATTTATATATACAAAGCAGTCCCACGTTACTTTGTGGTTCGTTTATCGCGGACTTGCTCTGTCGCGTTTTTTCAAAATAAGATTGGACATGACACACAATTGGCTGAATGATGGATGAGCTGCACGATCGGCATGGAATTTTTATTTAAAATAATTTATTTTAAAATATTTAGCACCTGCTGCACCTGTGTGCAGCCCACACTGCAGGATAAACTTCCTGCTGCAGCTGATCAGCTGTTCTCTGTGCAGAGCTAAGAAGTGGGCGTGGCCGAGAGCGCTTGCAGGTGGCAAAGAGCAGATGAGGCAGAGAATTCATGACATGCTGTGCTTTAAGAGCTTTAGAACCATTGTTTAGAATGTTTATAAACTCTAAACGTTCTAAAAGAGCATAGAATATCATGATCTGTGCTCTCTACCACCGGCTGCTCTCTGCCATCTGCCAGAGCTCTCGGCCACGCCCACTTCTTAGCTCTGCACAGAGAACAGCTGATCAGCTGCAGCAGGAAGTTTATCCTGCAGTGTGGGCTGCACACAGGTGCAGCAGGTGTTAAATAATTTAAAAGAATTTATTTTCAATTAAAAAATCCATGCCGATCGTGCGGCTCATCCATCAATCAGTTAATTGTGTGTCATGTCCAATCTTATTTTGAAAAACCGCGATAGAGCGAGTCCACAAAAAACGAACCACCAAGTAGCGAGGGACTACTGTATTAATCTAATTTGGCTAATGGCTAATTTCCCTTTGTTATTTTTTTTAATAACAAATTCTTATCAGTACAAATCTGTAACAAAAGCAAACAAAGAACAATTTCATTCACTGGAAATTAAAACTTCAACTATAAAAATTGATTTACCAGGACAGATTATGACTATTTGTACAATATTAGCTGCAAAAATCTCACCCGTTATGTGAATTATCAGCAATTACCATCATATAAATGTTAGTATAGATACACATATATTGCAACAGTTATCTGCAAAGTATGTCTCTCACAATATCATTTCCTGGACAGTTCTATAGTCTACTCATAAGTGAACACTGTAAAATAATTTGTTTGTCTAATCTTGTGGCACTGTGCTGAATTATCTCCTGGAATAATCTTAGTCTAACTACCGTTTTATTGTAACTTCAGAAAAATAAAACCACATCAAACTTATTTCCTCCTTGATTCTTGTTTGATACAATGCTAATTCAGCTCAACTAAATATACTCAGGCATGTGAATACAGTATGAAAAATATTAAGAGATGTATTACAAACGTGACTAATAATTAGGCTCTATTATCTTTTAAATAATGAGACATTTTACGTCTTTAAAAGCTTGTCACCACAGCAGTGATGCGAGACGTCATCCTGAAGTCGTTAATGTGTTTTTAATACAACCATAGCAGCAAACCTGACACCGTTTAATTACAGACATTTGATGGGAGAGCTATTCTGGATAAGTCATCGCAGCAACACTTAACACCGATCTAATTTTATTCTGCCGCGTCAAATCAATACAGAAAGAAAAGTGTCTTTGAAAATGTTTTTTTTCCTTTTGGCAGCAATTTGTATTTTAAAAGAGAAGCGCAGATGGGCAGATTAATATTAGTCATTACCTCCTTCCCCTCGCGAGCCCTCTGATCTTTAGTGATGGTAGCCAGGACTGTTGCTGCTTGCTCACCGCCCATCACAGAAATCCTGGAATTTGGCCACATGTAGAGGAACCGTGGGCTGTAAACAAAAATGGAAAAACGATACTTTTATATGTGTTTTATTAAGCCAGAAAAATGTTTCATTAACAACTAGCAGAGAAAAAAAAATGTGTCAAAATAAACCATCATTAATGAAGGATTCTTCAATGAAAGTACTACAGTAGTCCATTGTTTGCGCCTCGCCCCCCGATAAATGAAAAACCGCAAAGCAGGAATAGTAGTACAAGTAGTAGTAGTTTATTTTAGAATTTATATATATATATAAATAAATAAAGGTGTAACCCTTCCCCCACTCTTGCGAATTCTAAACAATGATTCTAAATTCTAAATTCTAAACTCTAAACGTTCTAAAACAGCACAGCATGTCATGATCTCTGCCACCTGCCGCTCTCGGCCACGCCCACCTCTCCCCTGCAGAGCAGAGATCATGACAAGCTGCAGGAGGGAACTTCTCCCTGCAGCTGTGGGCTGAACACAGGTGCAGCAGGTGCATGCAAAACCATTTTAAATTCCATCCATCCATTATCTTTTACCCGCTTCTTCCATTTTGGGTCACGGGGGTCGCCGGTGCCCGTGTCCAGCAATCACTGTGCGAGGGGCGGGGTACACCCTGGACGAGTCGCAAGTCCATCACAGGGACACATAGAGACAAACAACCATTCATTGTCTCACTCACACCTAGGGACAATTCAGAGTTACCAATCAGCCTAACATGCATGTTTTTGGTCTGTGGGAGGAAACCGGAGTACTCGGAGAAAACCCATGCATGCACGAAGAGAACATGCAAACTCCACACAGAAAGGCCTCCGGACCAGGATTTAAACCAGGGACCTGCTCGCTGAGAGGCAGCAGCTCTACCAGTTGCGCCACCGTGCTGCCCCCATTTTAAAATTATTTATTTTAAATAAACAATCCATGCCACTTGTGAGGCTCATCCATCAATCAGCCAATTGTGTGTCATGTGCAATCTTACTTTGAAAAACGGTGAAAGAGTGAGTCCACGAAAGTTGAACCATGAAATAGCGAGGGACTACTGTACTCATGAAGTCTTCATGCATGCTCAATAATCCAGGTAGATAAATCTAACAAGTTAGGCTTTCTAATGACATATTTCTATGAAGAAGGATTCATCCAGAGGAGCCGATTCAACCTTGTGAACTACTCATGAACAAACCTCACTGCCAAGAATAACTTATTCTCACTTTTATATACCAGACACTGTAAGGATGGCACCTTTTGCTGTTTCTGTTTGTGTCTGTGTTTCCTCGTCAGTTTAATTGTTGCCACCTTTGTCTCATCACACCTGCTGTTTGTAATCACGTCTTGTCTTGTCCTTGTATATAAACCTCCTGTCCTGTGTTGTTCCTTTGTCGGGTCGTATTCGTTTGGGTCTTCATGTTTCCTGCGTCTTGTGAGTTTCTCCCTGAGCTTCCTGAGTCCATGTAAGTTTTGCTGCCACGTCAGCTTATTGTTTTGTTACCTTTTTATTTATCATTAAACATATCTATTTTTGTAATCTGCCGAGTTGAGTCCTGTCTGCACAACTGGGTTCGTTCCTGTCCAGCTGATCCTGACAGACACACGCAGAAATGAAAAATATTGGCAAGACTTAAAAATGGCACAGAAGAAAGATACATTTACCATCGTTTTGCAGTAACTTTCTAATTAATAGGTTTTAAATTTTTAGAACAAGGCAACACTAAAGCCTCTTCATACTCCATCAAAGTGCTGAAATCGGCTCTCACTGTCATAGTTGCGTGACGAAAGTTGCGTCATTTTGTTCGCAGAGCAGCTTCGCCCGCCCCTTCTCGACACAAAGCCTTAGCCAAACTTTTTCTCACGGGTGTATGCTCCAAGTATTGGGTCAAAAGTTTGTGTGCGTGTTTGTCAATGTGAAAATGAGCTTGAACGTTCAGCTGCACGACTCCAACACACTAAATTAGTCAAAAGGTCCAAAACTGCAGCGGGTTTCCCAGGAGCTCTGCGTCCGTGTCTCGTGGAGTATGAGAGGTGTGCGCGAAAACAAACGTCCCGCAACCACGTGACCACACGCCGACTGCTCGGCTTCAGATGGAGTATGCCGGTACCTTAAGAGTTGCAATTTTATAAGATTATTATGTATCATTTTTCACTAAATATAAGACTTGCTGTAATCGTTGCCTTTGTTTTCTTCTTTTGGCACGTCAAACCCAAGCTCTCTGATATTAAAACAATCTAATATTAAATGATGAGTTGTGCACAATGAGGTCTGTCACACAGCCGTGCCCAACAGTTTTCAGATGTCTTTATATTTTACTTCCATGAAGCAGAGACTTCCTGCATCCTTCAGAAGTTTTTCTTTGGACTTTAGCTGCTTGTTCACTCATTTTCTGCTCACTCCTTGTAACTGACTGTGCAGCGTGCGCCTGAATAAACGTGGAAAATGGACAAATGGGGGAAAAATTTGTTCTAGAATTGCGCCGCTCGGGGTGGCTGCATGTTGGGGCAGCTCTGTTGCTTTCATTCTGGGATTTTGCTTTTGGAGTTTTTGGTTCCTCTTTTTCTGGATGTGGATCACGTTTTTTTGGATGGTTGTTTCCTCTGGTGTCTGATGCTGTGCAGCTGGAGGGATTTTTGCTGAGGCTTTTGTGGTTTTGGACATTTGTTATGATGCGTAACCATGGCAACGAGGCAGTTTTCTACGACCAAAAGCAGCTGATTAACATCTCAAAAGCTCAAATAATATCTCAACTACAGCCTCAAATCCCAAATGAGTTGAAAAGGATGTTCTGTGGACGCATTCTCATCTACCTGCCAGCTGTGCTCGAGTGCCTGACCACTGAGATCCTGGAACTAGCAGGAAACATGGCTCATGACAGTGGAAGGACAGGATCGTCCCTCAGCACCTACAGTTGGCTATCTGCAGCAATGAGGAGCTTGGCAGACTGCTGGGAGGAGTGGCCATCACACTGGGAGGAGTTCTGCTCGGCATTCAGGTGGTCCTACAGCCCGGGGGAACTGAGAGGTCAGTCGAGTCTGGGTGGACGGATCGGACGGCATCTGCTGCCAATTTCTTAGGAACCACTGTGGGATGGACCTTTATAAGAAATCCTTCCAGTCTACAGCCATCAGCATCTGTGACATCTCTTAATGAAATGAGGATAATGAGTTACAACAACAAATAATTTCCCTCTGGGATTAATAAAGTATTTTTGAATTGAATTGAATTGAATTGAATTGAAAAACTAAAAAATGCCAGTCCTAAAAAAACTATCTGCAACAGATGAACAGTATTTGTAAATCATATTTTTAAGAAATAAATGGAATTTTATTTTCTACTCATACAAATCTTCCAAAGGCAACTCGTGCATATACTCATAAACACAACTGAACATTTTGTACTTGAGTTTAAATTACTGCAACACGTGGGAAACAGCTTTCTACCTGTATGCTCTTCCACACATGCCATAGTTGCCTGCACCATAGGAGCCTCCGATGATAACAGTAACCTTGGGTACATTGGCACAGGCAACAGCAGTGACCATCTTAGCGCCATCCTTGGCAATTCCACCTGCTTCATACTCTCGTCCCACCATAAAACCTGAGAAAAATGGAGAAAAGGAAAGCAAACAAGATTTAGTTGTCTAAGTTCGTGTGACATCTGAAAGGGAAGGGCCAGATTTTTACATCATTCCCTGTGTCTCTTGAGGTTTAAACTGTGACATCTCATATCATCTTTGAATTACAAAACAACAGTTGTACAAACATCAAAACAGAAATAAATCCCCAGACAGAAAACCTAAAGATGTAGAAAAACAAGCACCAACCTGTTATGTTTTGAAGGAAAACAAGAGGAATGTTTCTCTGGCAGCATAGCTCAATGAAATGTGTCCCCTGAAAAAAGTCAACGGTTTAAAATATGTAAAATATTCCTTACAATGAAGAACAGTAATAATTATGTTAAAATAACACCTTCCATAAAATGACCAACATTTTAAATTTATATGAACTGCTGCAATTAAATGAAACGTAACGATCAAACAAATATACTCAATCCGCTTGTGTGCGCATATTAAACTGTTTGAAGTAATGTCTGGACAATAGCACTTTAAGTCCATCCAGTGTGGATCACATCTGGACTCTGTTAGTTTTGAAGCAGTGTTTGTGAATAATTTGATATTTTAAAATAAAAATAATCTCCCTGACAGCTTCACTTCAATCCATCATCTTCATCTGTGATGAGACCAGTTCAGGCAGAAAAGAGTCATTTTAGCTGGACGATAATCTACGCCTGTCACGATAACAAATTTTGCTGGGCGATTAATTGTCTCAGAAATTATTGCGATAAACGATAATATTGTTTGAAATTTGACAATAATTAGTAATTATTGTCAAATTTAAGAAGAAATGTTGGTTAATTTGTTTTGCATGTAGTACCTTCATTCGACCACCGGATGGCAGTAAAAGATTATTTGAACCGAAGGATGAATAGTGAGGGAGCGAGCAGCGTGTCCCTTTAAGAAAAATGGGAGAGATGCCCGTCATTCCCCAATCTGTTATGGAAGCCGATCAGTAGTGTAGCTCATTTGTGCATGTGCTAAAAGGAATACTTCTGGGTCGCACGGATCACCGTTGAATATGCTAGATTAAAGGAAAATGTACTGGTATAATTCTGTTTATGAATAAGAACCGTCTTAATTTACCTAGAAAAGTATGTGCTGTATCTCCGCTGATTTTCATGTTGCTAATTTACGCCACTCGTATTTCTGTTAAAATCGTTGACATATTTACGTCATGGTTACACCACTGAGCGGCGCCGTTTCACCATGGAAATAATTCATTCTGTATCTTGCAGGGTTTCTCCTCATTCAGCCCAGGCTGGGGATCAGGTCTAATGCGTCGCATATCATCTTAACCAATGATTTGTAACGGAAATACGAGTGGCGTAAATTAGCTACATGAAGCTCGGCGGAGATGGAGCACGTACTTTTCTAAGTAAATTAAGACAGTTTTTATTCATAAACAACGGCGATCTGTGCGACCCGGAAGTACACTACGGATCGTGCTTCCGTAACAGATCGGGGAATGACAAGGCCTCTTGACGTGACATGGGCTCTCCTTCTTTTATTCGGTTCTCAAAATAGCAGATGCTCGGTGTGGTTTGCGCTCTTTAGCGTTGCATTTTTCCCACAAAGCTTTTAATAAAAATCAGTAAACAAGTTCTCAGATTATTTTTGCAGAGAAAAACAACTTTTTACACGAAGGCACAGGTTTCAACCATTTTCCGACCTCTTGGCTTAATAATAATAATAATACATTTTATTTGTAGGCGCCTTTCTTGGCATTCAAGGTCACCTTACATAGTCAAGCATAAAAACAGACAATATTATACACATAGCAAAAACAAGTAAAAAATTAAAATAAGTCGGTGCAGTTGCAATCAAAGTGCGTAGGCTACTTTAAACAGATGAGTTTTGAGTTGAGCTTAGCTCGTAGCTTAGCTGCTTTTAACGATCCAAAAACGCGATTTTGGACGGTTAAAATGGATTTTAAAGAGAAAGGGAGAGGTCAGTGAAGATCACCGGAGCTGAGCCTTTTGTCATCCGCTGTCTTCGGTAGAAAGAGAGAGACACGGAGAAACGATAAAAGCCGATAAATGAAATTGAGGTTGATAATTTTCATTTATCATGTGATTAATTGATTTATCGTTTAGCGCGACAGGTCTACGCTAACCTGCAATGAATTGTTTAGCATCTAGTCTGTTAAACTGCCCCAGGATTCACTTTTCAGCAAGGGAGAAAAAGAAGCACTACGTATGTTTAAAGTGCTGTGATCTGAATTAGTCAAGCGTTCGCTTTATTTTGGAAGTAAATTCTGTTCGTGTTTTCCATGAGACCGCTTGTCTTGAACTGCAAAGTGTAAAGAGAAATAGGAGAAAAATCTATAAGAAGCAGGAAAAATAACCTGTCTGTTTGCTCTGACATATACAGATGCTATCAAAAAGGTCATCTGCTATCTTTCCTTTTCGCCACCACAGATACCCGGGGAGCGTTTAAACAGTCCACAGCTTTCCTAACAGACGCTGAAGCCTGTTAAATGATGAGTGTCTCATAAATGCATCCAAACCAGGTGCTGTATTGATTTTTCTTGAATATGCTCTTCAGCCACATGAAACGCTGTCCGTCTCTTTTGATAGTAATCAAACTAAAGATACAGCCTTGGCCTACGCTTTAATGTAGACGCGACAGAAAGAAATCTGTACGAGCCAAGCTTGTAATCTAATTCAAAATGCGATTGGGAAACCGTGCTAGTGTATAATCACAAACTCAGCTCATCATCTTCCCTAAGCCTGCGTTAAGTTCAGCTCTGCTCACAGCAAATTGGCTCGCAAGTTAAGTGAGGTATTAAAAAAAATAAAAAAAAGACAATTCTGATTGTCTCTCGTCTACGGTTTTAAAATGCTTTGGTATTAAAACGCCATTCATCAGAGTGCTCGTGAAATAACAAAGACAAGAGCCATTTGAGAGCTTATTCACTGTGGAAAAGCCTGCACCTTGACTGTGAAGAGTCATTATAAAACATCTAAGCTACTGCAGGACAGACATATTGGTATTCAGAGCCGTAAGCAGCAAATTCCCCATGGAGATTACCTGATTACCCGAACTGCTTCAGCATTGTGTTTTAAGTCCTTGACATTTTCACAGGTGCATAAACATTATACCGCTGCCTCTTCACGGTGATCGTGGGGCTCGGCATTTAACACTGCACAGGTTTGCACAAGCCACGACATTTATTTATGCTTTCAAAACCTATTCATTTAAATTTCGCTCTGGGTTTGAAGGAGAAATACCTTTTTTGCAGACTCTGAAAACAAGACTCCATTGTTGCCGATGATTCCAACAGGGTAACCAAATATTCTTGAAAATCCTGCACGGGCGCAAATTGGAAATCAAACGGTGGAAAATAAAACACTCCAAGCAAATCATAATTCTCCGTGTTGTAGAAATTGAAAACAATCTACCTGTAACAAGCGTGTCTCCATAAAAAGCCTTGAACTCGTCAAATTTACTGCCATCAACAATTCTGGCAATAACCTGCAAACCAAAAAAAAAAAAAAAGCCAGTTCATAGCCGTCAGTTTTTGTTACCAGCCCTGTTATATGACATTTCGTGTCATATGTAATAATGTTACAAATTTTACCTAACAGAGCTCACTTAAAGGATGTAGGCGTATGTTCTATAGAATAAGCGATTACTGTAAAATAAATAAATAAATGGGAGAGGAGGAGCATTTGGTTGATCCTGGACGCTAAACGACGTGTCGATACTGTTCAACACAAACACTTTGGCACTTTGAGTTAACAGTAATCCTTGCTCCGGAGTCACATCAAGAATCAAAGGCTTGGGCTCAGCCAACGAGGAAAAAACACAACAAGGTGATTGATGCCAGGCAGCCATTATTGACTGACACAAGAACACAACGTCCAAGCTGGTTTAAGTTCAGTCTGAATCTTTTAAATCATTTCTGCGTAGCATATTACATAAATCTCATCGATAAAACGCGTAAATACGATTTTTTTGTTCATTAACCAATTCTGTTAATACTTTAAAAACTGCAACTTTTCTTTTATTGTCTGTCTTATAAAATTAATCAAAGTAAAATATTTGCTAACTAGAGAAATAGCATCTGTGAAAATGCAGTGTGAATGCTTATTGCAGAAGAAATTGCTGACAAACAGCTGAAATCTGCTAAAAAAAAAAAAAGCTGAAAAGTAGCTGAAATGGAAGAACAAGCCTAAGCTAAAAGGAGAAATAACACATTTGTTGAATTAGATTAAATAAGCAGAAATTAACACAACAATTAGGAAATTAGCTAAAAAAAAAGGCTGAAATTAGCCAAATATAGCTGGAAAGTAGCTGAAAAGGCAGAAATAAGCATAAATTACAAGTGGAGAAAGTACATTTTCACTGAATTAGGCAGAAAAAAAATTTAATTAGTGCAAAAAAATGTGGAATTAGCTAAAAAATCTAAAGTTAGCATAAAATAGCTAAATAGTAGCTGAAATAACTGAAACTAGCAGACATAAGCTGAAAGGAGCACAACATGCTGAACTTAGCTAACAGAAGTTAATTGGGCTGAAAGTAGCAAAAATTACCAGGAAAAACTTGAATTTATCTGAAAACTACTGATATTAGCTAAAACATACAAAATAATAATAATAATGCTTAAAAAAAGTAGCTGAAAAGGCAGAATAAGCTTAAATTATCAAAAGAAAGCAGAAAAACATGTTTGCCCAATTAGGCTGAAAAAAGTTTAAATGAGTGCAAAAATTGTGGAGTTAGCTGAAAAAGCTAAAATTAGCATAAAAACAGCTAAATAGTAGCTGAAATAGCAGTAAAAGATGAAACTTGCTGTAATAAGCTGAAAGGAGCATAAGAAGCAAAAATTAGCAGAAATAAGTTAGAAGAAGCACAAAAATGTTGTAGTCAGCAGAAATGGCCTGAAAGGAGCACAAAACAGCTGAAAGTAGCTGAAAAACATTTAAATTTGCTCATGGAAGCTGAAAGAAGCTGAAGCAGAACAAAACATGAAAGGAGCAGTAAAAGGTTTTAAACAGATCTAAAGACTTGAAGGATGTAAAATGAGCTCAGTTCATTTTCTATGAGGAAAAAAAAATGGCAGAAAAAGCTAAATATTAAAAAAAAAACTAAAGTTGCACCCGTACCAAAAGTTATAGCAAGATGGTTCTGAAAGAACTGAACATTTTGATTTATGATTTGTTGAAAATGCTTGAAAACTTAAAAAAAATTATAAAATAAAAACGATTGAAAAGTGTCTAATAGAAACATATTGATAGATATATATATATATATATCCTGAGTGCAGCCTAAAACTTTCTTCTTGCTCTCTTAAGGCGCAACAACTGGACAAATACCTCACGGACATCAAAGTTTCGTTTCAAGTTATCTCCAACTATCCCATAAAGCTCATCGGCAGGATAAAGAGGGGCTTCAGTGGGTTCAGTGGTAACCTGAAATAAAAAATAAAGATGACTCAGCCTTCACAGACGGTTCAGACACATCTGTTTGAAAGTAATGAGTGTTTATATATACACCACTGGACTGACCTCAATATTCTTCCTGTAGTTGAGGCTTCGTATCGTCTTCCTCGCTAAATGGAGTGCATGGTTATCATCTAAAGCGTAGTGGTCTGTCACACCAGATTTTCTGTGAAATAAACAACAAATGAAGCAGTCTGGAGCTGCTGCAGTATATAAACCACAGGGTACGAATGATCATGGACATCAGGGCACGCGTATAGAAACAAAGCTGATGTTTTCTGGAGCTAAATGTTGCCATCAAGTAATAAATTAAATACATTTTCAATCAGTAAATAACGCATCGTCTGTAGACACCTAAATTGTAAATTGCATTTGATCCATGCAAACAGTCCAAAAGACAAAACCAATCAGACTAAAAATGTTTTGTTCATACTTGCAGTGGAGATCAGCCCCGCCAAGATCCTCAGCAGAAACTTCTTCCCCAGTAGCAGCTTTGACCTGGTAAAACAGAAACACAGAATCTTACTCAAATTCAATTGTCTCTAAATTACATTTATATTATTTTCCTGCAGCTGCAATCCTACGTTTGTAAATTCAAGGATTGGACTGAGTATACAAACCGCACATTAAAACTCATCTTTCAACATGTTACACAATTATTTAAATGAGAAATCCACAAACCAGAGGAGGCCCTCCGAGAAAGATGGTTCCTTGCTTTTGCACGATGATGCTCTCGTCAGCCATCGCAGGTACATATGCCCCTCCAGCAGTGCATGAGCCCATCACAACAGCAACCTTTAAAAAAGGAGTTATATACCATGTACGATATTGTCCATAACAATATAAAAAACTGTTCTTAGTGAGTTAGAGGACCTGACTCAGCCTTGTTAGATAGAAAGAGGTAAATTCATCTTGTGAGCAAAACTTACATTTATTGCAGTGATCCATCAGAGACATCTCCCCATTTTTATATCCAATAAGTATTTTCTTCAAAACTGAATGTCAGGATGGATTTTTGTTTCCTTATGACTTTAACAAAAACAGCCAAGAACTTTGTTCTTTACATTTACATTCTAAGGTATATTTTTGTCAGCACTCTGTGACAGCATCTAAAAAGAGCAGGGATGAAAACCTGACCCTGAGGTAAAGAAGTATTTCACACCAGCAGGATATGCAACGTGAAAAGTCTCAACCTGTGCTATTCCATCTGAGGACATCCGAGCCTGGTTGTAGAAAATGCGTCCGAAGTGATCTCGGTCTGGAAAGACGTCAGCCTGTCTGGGTAGATTGGCTCCTCCAGAATCCACTGAAAGATCAGAACATTAGCATATTTAGACTTATTGATTTTTACAGTATCAGCATACCAAACTGTCTTATAACTTGACTTGTCAAAAACTTGTAAACATATAGAAATATATGCAAATAATAAAACCTCAATTTGCCAAGGTACAAAATAAATATTTTTGGTTACAGGATTCTTGTACTTACAGTACATGTCAAAAATTAACTATGGAGGTTACGTTAACGTGCTTGTTCCATTATACCCCTTTCTTGGTAAATAATTAGTTTTTTATTAAAACTTTCAAAATACTGAGATACCTACCCAGGTAAATGCATGGCAGGTGGTTCTGCTGGGCAATTTCTTGTGCACGAAGGTGCTTTTTAACAGTGACTGGGTAGTAAGTACCCCCTTTGACAGTGGCATCATTTGCAACAACAACACATTCCACCCTAGAATGAACAGAAAAGAAAAAAAAGTCAGGAAATCAAGTTTAATTTAGTTGGACATTAAATAATGTAATGATCTTGGATTAAAGACTGTGGTTTTTGATATAAACTTCTAAGCTGGAACAGATTTTAAAATGAATTTAAGCAGCTATTAAAAATTAAGAAAGATTAAGGAAAATTAAGAATAAAACAACTTGATAAATGTGAGAAATGTTTAAAGCCGTTACCCAGAAACTCGTCCGATCCCAGTGATTATACCGCCTGCTGGTACTTCCTCCTTTCCGTACAACTCATACGCTGCAAACTGGGAAAACTCTAAAAATGGTGTCCTGCAAAATATAAAATGGGAAAAACTATTGCAATATATTTTAACCTAATATATGCGTAAAACACTTTTTTTTTTGATAAGCAAAATGCTGTTCACCTGCTCTTGTTTTCAGTTTGCAGGCATGTGCACAGCATGAACCATTAGATCAGTGTGTGTCAACTCAAGGATACAGATCAATCGTGAATTTCATCTAAAACACTTAAGTGATGATATTACCCTGGATCTAGCAGTTTGTCTATGCGCTCTCTAGGCAAAAGTTTCCCTCGAGAAGTGTGAAGTCTTCGTGCTTTTTCTCCTCCACCTTCATTAATGATAGAAACATCATGTTAAACATTTTGGTGACACTTTGAAAATGCCGTTCTAGTAGACCAAAATAACTTAACTAAGATAAGGCAAGTTAGAGATTCATAGAACCATTATGAATTTAAGATTCAAAACCCTTAAAGTATCTGTTACCTATTCCAAAACCTGAAAAGAAAGGTTTTATAAACCATCAGTATCTCACAGGCCTGACCCACTATGAACCAGTTTACAAAAGATTACAGATGAGGTTTAGAACTAATGGCTCTAATGTGAGGTGTCAGTTTTTCCAAAAACTGCCAGATCAAATCCCGGCCAGGGGCCTTTCTGGGTGGAGTTTGCATGTTTTCTCCGTGCATGCATAGGTTTTCTCCGGGTACTCCGGTTTCCTCCCACTTACCAAAAATATGCATGTTAGACTCAATGGTAACTCTAAATTGTCCCTAGGTGTGAGTGAGAGAGTGAATGGTTGTTTGTCTCTATGTGTCCCTGTGATGGACTGGAGACCTGTCCAGGGTGTCCCCTGCCTCTCGCACAATGATTGCTGGATATGTGCAGTGCAGAAGTCACCCCCGCGACCCAAAAAGTAAGAAGCGGGTAAAGATAATGAATGGATGGATGTTTGAAAAATTACTTGACACAAGCCCACAAAACATTTGCAAAATGAATCTAGACAAGTTTTACAGTTTTCACTTCAGTAAAAATACTACTTTTCCTGCATGCCGACACAAACGCACTGACCAGTACAGAATTATATCTTTGCCACTTACCCAATTTAACCTTCTCTGTCCGGCTTCTCAGTTCATCAACCAGAACTTTCATTCGTTCATAATTTTCCTGGGAAACGATGAGACACAATGCTTAGCTTGTCTGTATGGTTACTGCTTATTCTAACATAAGTTCACTGTTTAAACTTAGTCTAAATCCAAAGTTTGGTCAGTTTAAATAACCACAAAGCACTGCATAATGAGATTTCTTCAGCACTGCTAGTGCATGAATACACCACAGTTAAAACTTTTAATTGTAACTTTGTTTTTTATTGTATTGCAGTTGTAGCATTAATAAACAAAATTTTAAACTTTGGATTATTCATCAAATGTTTTTTTTTAATAACACAAAACAATGTAGCTTTCTATTTTCAGAGAAATTGTTAAAAACCACAAATAATTTCAAGGTGGTGAGATTTTATAACAAGAATTGTTTTGAGCTAACCCCTTTAAAAAAAAGTACCAAACATTAGTGAAGATGCTGCAAGCTAAGCTTTTGGGGAGTTTGAACACTAATGTTAGTTTCTGTTTGAATTAATGGCTAAAGTCATTATACATCTTTCATGTTTATAAACTTGAGTAGACAACTATGTCATCCTTGACAGTCAGGTGTGAACTTGCTCACATGGATGAACCCTGACATCAGCTAGCAACCAGTCGACTTTAGCAAACGTTAGCAACAGGCTAACCTACCTGATATTCAGGAGAGTGCTTATCGGGCTGAGAGCCGAGTCGAGCTACTTTGTCTGCGTAGTACGTTCTTGAACAAGTCAACGACAAGCCCCTGCAACGAAGCAACCACGGTCTTAAAGACTGCGCAAGCATTTTTAATCTCAACGAAACCTAAATTAGAAATTTGCAACAGCTAGCTTGCTAGCAAACTAGCAGGACTCTTCTTCTGTGGTCACAGAGGGCGAAATGTTTTCGTTCGCCCCCTGCTGGCCACAAATAAAACCGCATACAAATTTTACAGATGGTTTGTGTGTACAAAAAATTAAATGTTTAATCTTGAAATTATAAATGTGTGGGTAAAATAGAAAATCTATAATCTTTTTGTTCAATACAAAGAACTGTTTATTGTACATGTAATTGTATGTGTCTTTTACATGAAATACAAAATTTTTATAAAAAAAACAATTATTTAAAATTGTCTTAAATGCCAATCTCTTTGATGATATAATAATTGCACCAAAAATGCTCACTATTCAATCTAAATTAACAAAAATAACAAAAGATGAACGAACTTTTGCTTTCTGAAACTAAATGTCTTTAATTAGACAATTAAGGCTGAACGTAGCTTTAATATATTTAGCGCTGCTCTAGTCCTTAGTCTGCCTACAATTCCAACAGTAAACAAATAAACTTATTAAAATTTATCATATCCAGTGAGAACACACTGTTGCATTGGATAGGTAAAAAAAAAAAATCACAGTCTTTATTTGTCAGTGAAATTTTAATTTGTAATTTAAAAAATAATTTTCACACCAACACTTTAATAACTTGCAACAGTATCAGACTGCATGCTTTACTTAGCTATGCTTGGTAACATTTATTACTGGTTTGGAGTGATTAAACTATAAATGATTTATGAAATTTAACCTCCAACAGATCTAAGCTGCCATCATGTGGAGTTTAAAAGCACTACAACTGAGCTGCTCATCTTGTTTGTTAGGAGCTGTTTATCACAGACCTGTCTTTAGAAATCAACATAATTTGATTGGGAACTATAGGTTTTGGTTAAAAAAATAAAAAATATATTGATTTTAATTTGTTTTTTGTGCTGAGTAAAGGTTAGGTTTGGTGGGAAGTTTAGAGGTTTTGGTTTTTAAATGTCTTTAGGAAATTATTGTGAGACAGATTGTTCCTGAATTTGTGTGGGAGTAATTTGCATTTCTTCACTGTTTCATAGAAGCTTAATCATATTTTCAAAAATCTATTTGGAATATTACTTATTCTATTTATTTCTATTTATTACTTTTTTTTTTTTTTTTTTACTGCTGCTGAGAGTGAAAATTTGACTGCAGATTATTATTGAAACGCTCTTGTTCATGATTTATAGCATTTGTTTTCAATTTCTATAATATCCAGTATATTATGTTTCGTCTCACAAATGTGTTAATGCACTAAGACATTTCACTTGTACAAATATTCTGCTCAACGGCTCTAAATCCAAACACAAATAGCCCCTTTCTTGTTCAAAAAAGCAGGACTAGAGTTGATTTTAAGTAGGAATCAGAGTTAGCCTAAAAGCTTTAAAAAAGCATTCCTTCTGACCTGAGTGCTTTATTCGAGCTGGAGTACCTTTGGCAGAGAATATGGGCTGAAGAGCATTCAAACCAAGAGCTTTTAGTTCATTTGGTTTTGAGAGTCCGCTCTCCTCCAACGCCCCCACCTATTCTAACGGCATGCATGGAAATGCCCATGACCTCCACTCAAATGGCTGCTCCTGTTTTCTTAGGGAATATCCAATCCTCCACTCTGTGTGTGAACCAAAACCCTCTCACTCATCCAGCTCTCTGTGCTTTTCTGTGACCTTTAAACCCCTCAAAGCTGCAGCTGAAGTGACTGAATAGATGTACCAGCATGAAAAGCATATGCTTTTTTTTACTTCTTCTTTAAAAAAAAAAAATAGATAAAAATCTCTGATAGCTTAGAGGTGAGTGTAAGAAAGAAACTGTAAACCATTAAATGACTGCATGAACAAGAAACAAATCCGTCTCTGATCCTAACATGTGTAGAAACTGCCTATACAAGATATTGTATTAGATCTTTTCTTAATTTCAATTTAAAAACATTAACATTTGAAATTGTAAACATTTTGTTTGTCAGCATTTTGTTCTAAATGACAAAGCTCTTCAGAAACAAATGGGAGTTGCAAAATTAAAAAGGAAAGCTAATATATTCATCTGTTCATCTATTTTTGACCCCTTACTCATGGGTCAGGTCCTGGAGGCAACATGTCTAGCAGGGAAACCCAGACATCCCTCCCCCCTGTGACATTTCTCCTGTTCTCTGTGAACCTGGCCCTCATTTTATATCCAGGATCGTGTTCTTTTAATCATGAACCACCTCATGACAGGTCGCTCTTGAAAATGAGTCTTTGTGACTCAGTGAGACTAACCTGTATAAATAAAGGTTGAATGAATGACCATAAGTGAAGAATGGAGCATAAAGTGAATTAAGAGCTTTGCCTTTCAGTTCAATGTCTTCTTCATCACAAGAGACAAGATCAACGATGCACCGTTTGTCGATTAGTCCCGCTCCATCTTCCCATCACTCACAAACATTCGTCTGCAGAATGGCCACCTTGACATGGTGAAGGGGCCTTAGTTCTCCAGTGATGTTGTCTGCATGTCAGCCCAGGTCTCCCATCTGTCATTTGTTACCTCAGGGTCAGTTAGGGAAGCCAGGACACCGACCTGGTGCCAGAACTGTGGGGAGCTCACCAGCTAGTGCCTGGTGGTCAAGCCTTGCCTTCTGGGCTCGACTGAACCAAACCCAAAGAAATGAAGCCCTCTCTTTGTCCCACTAAAGTGAAAAGCAAACATGATCAGGTGCATTGCATGCTGGGTAGCAGAGGGTGCGTCCCTGGGCATGCAGAAACCTGGAGACACAAACTGACCCTAGGATGAATGTGGGCGATATAACAAAATCTTATAAAAGACATTAAAATAAATAAATAATAACACTGAGAAATCAATTCATTTTTTTTTTATTTGTATGCATCTTTTATATCTTTTATGATTGTCTATTGTTGTCGTTGTTGTCATCGTTCTTTGTTAAAAATGCAGGTCTCCCTTGTAAATGAGTCCCTGAGGCTGGATGGGATTAACCACAGGTATAAATAAAGGTTGAATTAAAAGAAAGAAAAAAAAAAAAATAATATATATATATATATATAGATATAAGCTCCGCTGAAGCAAAACCAAAGAAGTGAAGGCCCCTCTTT